CAAGGAAAAAAGAGAGAGGACTCAGTAAAAATCAGAAATGAAAAAGAAATAACTACGGATTCCACAGAAATACAAAGGATCATAAAAAATACTATGGGCAATTATATAACCAAGAAATTGGACAATCTGGAAGAAATGGACACATTCCTAGAAATATACAATCTCCAAAGACTGAGTCAAGAAGAATCAGAAAATCTGAACCAGCTAATTACCACCAATGAAATCAAATCAATGATCAAAAAACTCCCAAAAAACAAAAGCCCTGGACCAGGTGGCTTCATAGACAAATGTTACCAAACATTCAAAGAAGAATGATCACCTATTCTTCCCAAACTATTCCAAAAATTCAAGAAGGGGAAAAGCTCCCTAACTCTTTTTATGAGGTCACCATTACCTTGATTCCAAAACCAGACAAAGACATTACAAAAAAAAAGAAAACTATAGGCCGATATCTCTTATGAACATTGATGCAAAAATCTTCAATAAAATGTTAGCAATCCGAATTCAGCAATACATTAAAAATATCATACACCATGATCAAGTTGGATTTATTCTTGGGATGCAAGATTGATACAATTCTGCAAATCAATTAATGTGATATACCACATCAACTAATCGAGGATAAAAACCATATGATCATATCAATAGATGCAGAAAAAGTGTTTGACAAAATCCAGCATCTATTTATGATAAAAACTCTCAGCAAAGTGGGAATAGAGGGAACATACCTCAACATAATAAAGACGATGTATTACAAACAGACAGCTAACAAACATACTCAATGAGGAAACTTTTGCTAAAAGCATTTTCCATGAGATCAGGAACAAGACGAAGATGCTCACTTTCACCACTTCTCTTCAACATTGTTTTGAAAGTTTTGGCCACAGCAATCAGACAAGAAAAAAAAAATAAATGCATCTGAATTGGAAAGGAAGAAGTTAATCTCTCATTACTTGCCAATGACATGATGTTATATATAGAGAACCCTAAAGATTCCACCAAAAAACTGTTAGAACTGATCAATGAATTCAGTAAAGTAGCAGGATACAGAGTTAATATTCAGAAGTCAGAAAGAGAAATTAAGGGAACAATCCCATTTACAATTGCATAGAAAACTACAAAATACCTGGGAATAAAATTAACCAAGGAAGTAAAAAAACCTGTTCTCAGAAAATTATAAGTCATTGAAAAAAGAAATTGAAGAAGATACAAATAAATGGAAGCACATACTATGCCATGGGTAGGAAGAATCAACATCATTAAAATGCCCATACTACCCAAAGCAATCTATAGATTCAATGCAATCCTTATCAAAATGCCATTGGCATTTTTCAGAGAGCTAGAACAAATAATCCTAAAATTTATATGGAAT